AATCCCTGGGGATGAGCAGCCCTGGAAAGGCAGCAGCAGCACTTGGAGCAGGTGTGTTCCCATCCAAGCCAGGGATCAGCTCCATGTGGAACCTGGATGCTGTGCAAGCCCCCTGTCCCCCAGCAAGGGAGTAATGGCCTTGCAAAGGGGATCCAGGGTGGGCTGAGCCCCACCATGAGCATTATGCCAGGGGAAAGCAGGAGAAAAACCCTGTGCTGGGAAACCAGGGATAATTTGCTGTCTCCTTCTCTGGGCAGGGAAGTAGTTGGGCTGGGTTTGAGGGCTGCTGAGCCTGCAAAGGCCCTGAGGAAACCAACTGGTGCTGGTGTTGGGTGGCTCTGCAAAACTGAGCCATGGACCTTAAAAAAGGGAATGGGGGGAAGTCCTCCTTCTGTGGGAGTTTGTCACCTTTGGGGTGACTTCACTGCCAGAAGGGACACCTTGACCCAGGCATGGAAAAAGAGCTCAGTCAGGGGTTGCTAAAGGCAGCAGGATCAAGGGCAGGTGAGGTCTGTGCTGTCACTCGAAGCCCAGGCAGTTGGAGAGGGGAAAGGTCCCTCTCCTTCCTGCTTGGATCAAAACCCTTCACCTGATGGTGTTCCTGCTGGTGACAGCTCAAAACAGCAGGTACTTGGCCAAAGAAACTTCCATTGTTATTACCAAATATTTATTAAAAGTAACTAGGCTTAGTCACGGGCTCAGGCTGCGTTTGCAGAGCGGGCAGGTCCGGCCGGGCTCTGTCAGCAAATACAGGGTGAGATGTGTCCCCTCTGGGGCTCCTGCTCTGACAGCACAGCACAAGTGCAGACACAGAGACATCGGGCTCAGGGCAGAGTGGGGAGGAGGAAATGGGCTTTGTAGGGGGAAGAATTCCAGCGCTGAGTGGAGCAGGTCACGGACACACCTCCTGGTGTGGCGGCAGCTCTGCCCTGTGCCCCCCAAAAAACCCACAGTGGGGGCTGTGCCCCCCATCTGCACACTGGAGTCCTGCCAGAGTGGCACAGATAGGGGGAAGAGGCATTTTGGGTTTTGATGGGGGACCTAAGCAAAGTGAGCCCATGGGACCTCCCTGGTGCCACCCTGGAGAGGGTCACCCAGGCTGGGCCCTGCCCGTGGCAAGGACAGCCCGGGGGTGTCCCCTCCAGCCAGCTGTGTCACTGTCCCTCGGGTCTGGGGCTCTGCAGAGCCTCTGGCCAGCACAGCTCTGGGGGTCACACCCCCAGCTCAGCCCCACCCCAGCCAGGAGTCCTGAGCACGGTGCTGTCCCCAGGCCCAGTGGCTTGGCTGGATCTGCTCGGGGACTTTTGGGGTGGGGGGTCTGGGCTGCCCTCCAGCCATGCCAAGGGCATCCCACCAAGCAAGGACTGACTCCCCAACATCCCTGAGCCCTTCCAGCATCATTCCAGCTCCAAAGGGGCTCCTGGTGGGCTCCCCAGGGCCCGATTTCTGACGGGTCTCGTCCACATGGATCCAGAGCTGCTTCCTTCTAGGAGTTAATCGAGGTTTCCATTAGGGAAAATTAATGGCCACCAAGAGTCTGAAGTCATCACATGGCTCCCACTGCTGCATTCTTAGTGGGGAAAAAAAATCACTGGCTGTCACAGGAGCTGGCAGAGCTGGAATGCTGCATTTGGACTGGCAGGGGACCAGCGTGGCCTGTGGTGGAGGGGCTGGCACGGGACCCCACAGCCAGAGAGAGGCCCTGGATCCTGGGATCTGCAGGGGAGGATCCCACACTCCACCACAGAGGACAAACTGGGGGCAAAAAGGAGTTCACCTCTCTGTTTATTGGAATTAATTTTTCCCCTTGGCACGTTTCAGCCAAAAACTCTTTGGGATTTTGAGCCTGTGCCAGAGCAGCTGCGACTTTTTTATTTCTCTCACACTTCTTTTTTTTTTTTTTCCCCCAATCATTTTGCTGAGTCTGTGTGAAAATGCCCCAGAAAGCAGTAAAACTTGTCAAGACACTCCCAGCACTGGCTCACATGGAACAGCATCTCCAAAGGCAGGGCCCCTTCCTGAAACACCGGCCCCGAGAGCCTCAGGGTCCTGCCACCTCTGTGTGTCCCCCCAAGCTCAGAGCATGGTTGGACTGGATGATCCTGAAGGTCTCTTCCAACCTTGATGATTCCAGGTTTCCAGGATTCCATGGCATTTATGTTCTCCTCTGTTCCCAGCTGTCCCCCGGGTGGCCCCGCTCCATCCCCGTCCCGATGCTCAGCAAGGGGCCGAGTTTGGAGCAATGTGGTTCATGGATCCTCATCCTCACCTTGGAGGGAACTTTGCACAGGGTCAGGCTCTTGGGACAGGGGGGACAGGTGAGGGTAGAGCCCAGGGCACCTAAGGAGGGGAGCAGATCCTGTCTCAGCACCCAAATGCCACAGCCCAGAGTGCACAGAGAACAGGGACCCCCTGCCCAGCCTGTCCCCTGTCCCCTGGCGTGAGGTCCCTTTGGATTAATGCTCAGATTGAAGCCAATTTGACTTAACTGGAGAGTGTGACCAAGGGCCACGGCCCTTTGGGCTTCTCCAACATGCAGAGTGGGGTTGTAGCCTCACCCCTGATGCCTTTCCACCACATCTTTGTCCTGCTCTCTTGTTAAAGCCCAAAGTGATGCTAAAGGGGCATCAGAGCTGATGGCAGGAGGCAGCAATGGGGCAGCACCTGGAGCAGGGCTGAGTCAAAACCTACATCACAGGCTTTAATCACAACCTGCCTTTTCCCGTATTCTGATCAAATCACTCATCTGTGCCTTGATTTCCCCACAGAGTAAAGTAATGGTACAAAGGAGGCACAGTGAGACAGAAATAACTTGGTTTTCTGGTGAGATATTTGGGGAGGGGACAAGGACAAGGTGGTCCCATCCAGCCTGGGCTCCCCCAGCTCCCCCTGTGCATTGTCAGTGCTCTGCTTCCCCCAGATCCACCCTAACCCTGGCCACCAGGCAGGGAAGCATCTTCCATCAGGCCAAATGAGATCAGCACTTGGCTCCCAGCAACGGGATCCAGGCAATTCCCCCCATCCCTTGATTAATAACAAGGCAGGCCCGTGGAGCGAGGTGGGGGGGACATGCTTAATTGACTCTGTGCTTTTGATACAGCAGCTTAATGACTGTGTTCAAATTAGCCAGAATCACCTTTTCATCTTGGGGAATGGAAATGAGAGGTGGATTTCTCCAGCACACCCTCCCCCCACACCGGCCTCTTAAAAACACATCTCCAAATAAACCAATCGCGTTTTTCACGCTTGGATTTTTCATCTTCTATTAAGCAGATAAGTTGATATTGTTTAAAAAAGCAATGAAATTCCTTCACAGCCCTGTAAATCTCCTGGTTTTAACTGCAGATCCAGGGCTGAGGATGGGGATGAACCTCAAAGGGGAAAGCCTGGGGTGCTTGTGCCTGCAATGAAATTATAAATCCACATCCCGGAGCAAACGAGCAGCAGGAGGCACCAGAAACCTCCAGGAGCAGAAGAGCTGGGCTGCAGCAAAGGATGGGAGTTGGGAGTGGAACCTGTAAGCTGGAAGAGCTTCACATTTCTCCTGACAACACCCTGCATGAATGGAGCTGATTCAGAGGAGAACATCTCATAGGAGAGCCCACCAACGTGGGGTTCAGGGCTGTGCCCCGCTCCTTCCCCCTGAGCCTTCCCTCAGTTTTCCGTAAACTGGAGGAGACGCTGCCAAAACCCGCTGTCAGATGCAGCAAATGTCACTGAATGGCTCAGGTGGTTCTGTCACACAGCACAGCAAGGGCACAGGACACTCCACTCCAGCAGCCCAGGGACCAGCAACACTAAGGACCAAGCAGGGACAAGTGGAGAGGAGCAACAATTCCACCCTGGAAAGAAATCAGCCCCAAGGAGGGAATCGGCCCCTCTCATCCTCAAAGCCTAATTCACCAAATCAGGAGGAGAGCTCCGAGGAGGGATGGGCCATGGTGAGTGCTGTCTCCAGGTGGGCTGTGGGTACTGCTGGGGGGCTCCAGGTTATGGTCCCGTGAGCCTGGCATCTCCCTGGCACTGGAGCCCACTGCGGGGGCACAAATGCAGGAGCCATGGTTGGGCTGGGGGCTGTGATTGTTCCCGGGGCTGTTCGTGCCCCAAATGCCCCAGTTTCCCAGTTGGAGTGGGGGAAATGGCTGTGTTGGTCCATAACCACCTCCACAGGGAGAGCAGCGAGGGGAGCTCGGGGTGAGGTGGCACCTGGACCCTGTCCCGGGGGGGCACAGGGCAGGGGGGATGCAGACGGGCTGCCGCGGGGCTGGGGCAGAGCGGGGGTATCCAGGGGGGCTGGAGTGGGGCTGGGGGAGCCCGGGCAGGGCAGTGTGGGGGTACCTGGGGGTGCTGGCACGGGCTGGGGGAAGCCCAGGCAGGGTGGCAGAGGGTACCTGTGGGTGCTGGTCCGGCATGGGAGCCCAGGCAGGGCGGTGTGGGGGTACCCGGGGGTACTGGAATGGGGCTGGGAGAGCCCAGAGAGAGGGGCCGGGGGAGACCCAGGGATGCTGGCGCGGTGCCGGGTGCCCCACGCAGGGTGGCACGGGGGTACCCGAGCGCGCCGACACGGGGCCGGGGGGCCCACCCAGGGCACTGCGGGGCTTGGGGACCCCCGTCTGTCCGGGGGGGACCCTTCCCCTTTGAGCGCGGCAAAGCGGGAAGCGGAGCCCGGAGCCCTTCCCTGCGTTTCTCCGCGGGCTCCGCGCCCGATCCCGCATCTCCCCCGGCCCCGTCCCCTCCCCCGGGCGGGGGGCGCGGGGGGGCGGCTCCAGCGCACGGGCGGACGCGGTTCGAGAGGCGCCGCCGCGCCGCCCCCGGGGACGGGCCGGGGCCGGGCCGGGGTCCGTCCGGAGCCGCCGCCGCCGCCCCCGGGGCTGCGGCTCTGCCCGCGCCGCCGCCGCGCCATGGGCAGCCCCGGAGCGGCCCCCGAGCGGTGAGTGCGGGGTCCCGGGGACGGGAGGGGAGGGGGGTCGTGGCCGGGCCGCACACGTGGGTGACGGGGGTCACCCACCCACCTTCTGCTCGCCCTCCTCCGCCTGCCCCCGGCGCCTCCGGAGCGGCTCCGGGGGGATGCCCGCTGTGCCCACCCGCCAGGCCCCTCCGCAGCCCCGGGCTGTGCCCCCGCGCAGGGTCGTACCGGGGTCTCGGTGGTCTCGCTGCGGCGCGGGGGGGTCCAGCCCGCACCTGCCCTGCGCTCCCGGGGGTCCGGTACCCGCAGCCCCCCCGCCCGGCAGCGCCGGGGCCGCCGCTCGCAGCCCCTTTCCTGCCACAGCCGAGCGGGTCTGAGCATCGCCAGGCGTCGGGGAGGGTTTTCCCATCTCCTCTGGCTCCTGTTTCCCCCCCTCGGATGCTGCAGGTCCTCCTCGCCACCCCGGGGCCCTGCCTGCCCCTTCCCTCCGCATCCTGGATTTTAGGGCTAGGCGGATTCTCCTGTCAGAAATCCCAGGGCTGGTTTAACCGCGGATGTTACCGGGCTATGTTTCTCGGGGAAATGGAGCAGGCAGCAAGCGCAGCATCCCTGGCTCCTATTGCCGTGCTGGAATAGCAGCCTTGCCTCTTCCCACTCCACAGCCAGAGTACTTTTGTGCCAGTTCCTTAATCCACTTGCAAAGCGGATTTGAGCTAAAACCTGACAAAAGGTGCTCCAAATCCCGTGGCGTTCGCGCAGGCAGCGACTGCAGGGGAGCAGCAGCTGCTCAGGTTCATTCCCAGCCTTACCCTGAGATGAGGGTTTGGAGAGGAGAAAAGAGCAACCAGGAGGGGAGAACGATGAGAGGAGCAGGCAGAGTGGTTGTCAGACAGCTGGAGAGCGGATCAGTGCCGGGATCTGCAGCCTGGCAGCACCCAGAGCACAAACCCCTTCAGAGGAAAGAGCATCGGAGCCGGAGCGGGTGGACCCTGGGAATTGGCTGGGATTGGAGATGCTTGGTGGCCTGAGGAAGATCAGCCTGGGCCTCTCGGAGCTCCCAGTTGCTGTTTAGTGTCGTGGCTGGTCTCGACTGCCAGTGTGGTGCTGCTCTCGCCCTGTGGGACAGAGACCGTCCTGCCTGGAGCAGAGCACCCCAAAACCCAGGTCCAGCCCCATGGGGTGACACCATGGGAAAAGCCTCGTGCAGAGAGGGAAAGTTCCTACAAACCTCTCAATCAAAACACCAGGAATTCAAGCCAAAAAGCCCGACAAGAGCAGAGTTGCCCAGCGGCTCCCAGAACAGCAGCTCAGTGTGACACAATCGTGTGTGTCCTTAAAGCCAGGGACAGATTCTGTTGCTGACCTTAAAAATGTAGGTGGTGAACCCTTTGACAACCCTTTGGTAAAGGGGGGGACCTTGAGGCTTTGCATCCCAAACCTCTGCCCTTTGCTGCTGCTTCCTCACCCCTTGTGCTGCAGGATGGAGACAGGAGAAGGTCCTGGCACTCCAGGGACATGGCAGGAAACGTGGGGCATGTCCTTTAAACGGGAAAATAATTCCAGATGAGTTGGGGAGCAGCCAGTTTGGCAGCCTGGGATTGATCTGCTTTAATTTGAGTCGATGTAGTTATCATTGGCAGTCCTGTGGCTGAGGTGGAGGAAAGGGAGCGGAGCTGCTGCCTCTTGCTGCTGGAGGACTGGCAGTGCCGGGTGAGTTGTGGCCAGAGCAGCTTTGAGAAGGGATTTCTAGTCACCCCAAGATTTCTCGTGGTTTTCAGAGGTTGCAGAAATCCCACTTGGATGTCTAGGGCCTTCCCCAAAGCCCTTGGTTTGGGAGCTGAGCTTGGGGGAAGATGCTCTCAAACACAATGTCCAGCCTATAAAGCAGCCAGAGAAGCATTCCAAGAGCTGGGAGCAAACCTGTTCCCTCCAGTGTAGGGAAGCAGGAGGAAAAGCAGCTTCTGGACAGAGTTGGCTTAAAAATCAGTACATTTTGCTTTTATCCTGCCCTGTTGGGAGGAAGGAGCAAGAAGACCAGAGAAACGGGGTGGTTGTTTCATGTTTCACCCCCCTTGGTGTTGGTGCCTGGGATGGGACGTGGCTGTGCCAGGGACTCGCTGCGGTGGCAGAGCCAGGGCAGATCCTGCCCCATCTCCCACTGCTGCCAGGCTCAGCCTTTCCCAGGGGATGATCCCTCACCGAAGATAGCAGGGCCAGGGGCTTTTTTCCTATTTTATAGTGTTTAGAGCTCAGGAATGTCTGCTTTTATTAGCTGTGCTAATCCTGCAGCACCAGATAACTCATTCCTCCCTCCAAGGCCCAAACCTAATCACTGCACTTCCCTCCAGCAGCAGCACAGCCCCCAATTAAACCCTGCCCTCAAAGCCCGATGGCACAGACGGACAAGGCGCTGTCTGCGAATGTGCTCGGCCTTTCAAGTCTTCAAATCCACGTTTAATGGATTTTAAATTTTTTAAATTCTTTAAAACTGTTTCAAGTCTTTAAATTCATTGATTTTTCAACCCCCCAGTTTCTGGTTGTCAGCTCACTCCCGTTTCCCACCGGGAGCAGGTGGTCCCTCTCTGCTCGGCAGCACGGGGAAGTGGAGCTGCCATAAGGCAGGAGGAGTTGGGCTGCTCCACGAGATGTGAGCAGTGTGGCTGCTGCGTTCCCATCCCCAGGATGGGAGTGAGCTGTTGCCGTAGCCCTGGAAATACCGTTGGGAATGTGGAGCACGTGGCCGGGAGCGTTTTGCGTGGGCAGCGGCAATTCCCGCGCCGCCGGCTCGCTGCACCGTGGGCAGCCCAGGTGGGATGCCTGTCACCAGCAACATCTCCCCGAGTCCCAAATCCCACATTTCAGAGTGAAGGGAAGCAGGAGCCAAGTGAGGCCGTGCCTGAGCTTGTCCCCAGACACACAGACTCACCACGAGGCTGCAAAACCCCTCAACGTGCATCCCGTGCCTTGGTTTCCCTGCCTGTACATGGCTTAGTCTGGAGGCCTGGCTTTGTAGGTTGACACATTCTCTCAGACAGCCCAGGTCCTGCTGCCTGGGAGTGTCTGTGGCTGTAAATCCAGGATGGAATTGTCCGAGCAGGGTGGAAGGAGCATCACGGATCATCTCTCTGGTCTGTGGGCAGAACTGCAGCAGAGAGGGGCAGAAGGTGCTGCCACCAGAGCCCAAAGGGCCACTCTGGGAGTCCTGGGAAAGCACCAAAATGAACAGGGGAGGGCAGGAATGTTCAGAGCAGAGGTTTGAGAGGAGATGAAGCAATAAAACCCATGAGAGTGCTCGGAAATGCTGCGAGAGCTGTGCTGGCTCTGGCCGTGGGAGGGAGAGGGATTGGCTTCGGGTGTTATCCATGGACTTTTCTGGGAGGCTGTTGGGGAAGTTTTCATAGGGTTTACCTTGAAGCAGATCCTTCCACAAGGTTTGGCTCAGGGGATGTGGGAGTGAGGCTGGACCACAGCCTTGCTGGGCCACTGGCAATGGCCTGTGCTGGTTTCTCCTCTGGATCCCTTTGCCTGAGCTCGTGGTGCTTTGGGGTTGTACTGGAACCTGGGGGTGCTCCAGGTCTGCAGGGTGGGCAGGACGTGGGGCCAGGACTGGTGTGGGTGGCAAGGCAGGGAAGTGGCACTTGTCCGAGTGGGGAGCCCTCCCTGGTCCCTGGCAGGGGCTGCCCTTCCCTCTTCTTCATGGAAAACAGGGCAGGAGTAAAGTCATCCCAGCGTGGTCGAATAGCTGGGACTTGGGTGGATAATTTGGGCAGACCGCGAGGAACAGCTTCCCTGGAGATGAGCTGGAAAGCAAAACCTGCCATGAAAGGTCTGGGCTGTGCTCCCCAGGCTATCACAGTGCCTTGGCATCCCGACAGGCACCCCATGGCCAGGATCCCGGGTGCCAGGCTGGGAGCAGGGGCAGCATCCCTCCATCTCCCCGAGCAGCAAAGCCATCCCAGCACGTGCCCTCCTCCTTCCTGCACCTTCTGGCTCAGCCCAGCTCTTCTCTGCCTTCATCCCCCTGCATTTTTCATGCCACCAGCACGAGCTTGGCTGCAATTTGCAGCCCTATCCATCATGTGGGGTTGGTTTTTAGAGCTGTCCCAGCCTCACTGGCACAGACCTCGTTCAGCTCCTGATGTGCCAACCAAAATAGCAGCAGTCACAGACTGGAGTGGAGAGGAACAAGTGTCACTGACAATTAAAGTGACACAGCCCAGCATCAAGGTCTCTGAGGGTTTGTGCTTTATTAAGCAACAGTGAGTTCATGGGAAAGGACTTTCACTCAGAGCACTACAAGGAAAGAGAACCAAGGACTATATTTAGGCTCAGCCTGTGATGGGGGGACAGGGCCAGGCACTGCTGGAGGGGAGCTGGGCATCCTCAGCTCCCTGGCCCTGCAGAGCCTGGGGAGGCTTTGAGTGAGATGCAGGGACCAGCAGATGGGTACAGGTCAGTTTTGGGATCACAGAATCCCACAATGGGACCTTAAAGCCCATCCCATCTCACCCCCTGCCATGGGCAGGGACACCTTCCACCAGCCCAGGTTGCTCCAAGCCCCGTCCAACCTGGCCTTGGACACTTCCAGGGATGGGGCAGCCACAGCTGCTCTGGGTAACCTGTGCCAGGGCCTCCCCACCCTCCTGGGGAAGGTGCTGCAGAGGGACAACCCACAGCTGGAGAGCTGGAGGGTTTCCCCCCCCCGTGCAATGGCCTCTTCGGGGTCTTGCACACCCAGACCCAAGTGTGTGTGTGGAGTGGCTGGGAAAGCTCCTCTGAGCAGGATCCACCCTGCCTGGAACTTGTGTGGCATCATCCTGATGGGGGGTCCGTGACCCTGCCCAAGGCTGTGTGGCCCCTCACATGGTTCCCTCTCCCTAAAATGTGCTTTGGTGATGATGTGGGTTATTTAACAGATCAATGCTTTCTCTCTTTGCCTCAGGGTCTGCCTCTTCCCACCGCCCCCTCCTATTAAAAATTCATTGTTTCTCCAAGAGATTGTTGCTAGAGGGAGATGGGGAGAAATAAAGGAGGTTCTTGGAAAGGAGGAGAGAAAATATTTAATGGGAAGGGAATAGAGGAAAAATTTAAACCAAATATTGTCCCTCTGCCCCTGTCCCTCTGTCCCTTTTGCTGCCCTGGGTGCATTTGAGCACCTGCCAGGTCGCAGGGACCCCGATGTTCCCAGAAGGCTCAGGGAGGGTCATGGGGGACCTGGGATAAGCCTAGGAGGTGAGGATGGTCCTGTTCCTGCCTGGGGCTGAGGAACCTGCTGGCTTCAGAGCTGGGAGCGTGGGGACGTTGTGGCTGTTTCCCACAGCAGGGACAGGAAGGAAGGAGCAGTGATAACGTGGACCTGGAGCAGGGCAGGGGGTGCACCTGAGCTCCAGCTCATCTCCCAGCCTTGGCATCTCCAGAAAAATCCCCCCAAGGCCCTGCTTGCTTTTCCTACTCAATTTGGCTGCTGTTTCAGTCCAGGTGGATGAGAGGGTTCATTTGTAGACTGAAATAATTGAGGAGGCCTTGATGGGCTGCACATGGTGGGACCACCTCATCTGGCCCTGTGGCACCAGGAGCCTGGGCTGGGACACAGAGTGGTCAGGCTGTGCTGGCCCTGGGGATGGACCATGGATGGATTGGGCAGGATTCAGGCAGGCTTGGGAAGGCCCTTTCCATCTTCAAAAGGCCTCATGAGCACAATCCTCGTGGTGCCCCTCACAGGTCAGCAGCAGCAGAGGTTTGCAGAGCAGGGGAACTAAAGAGGCTCTGGCTGAGCATCCAAACTCCATCAGCCACATCCCCGTGGTGTAACACCTCACATCAGTGAGGGGGTTTGATTCCCCTCAGGGGCAGTGGGAGGTGTTGAGCTCAATGCCCAGAGCTGTGTCCTGGCTGCTGATTCCAACATGGTGCAGCAAACCACGAAGTTGGTTGGTGCTCCTGGCCTCTTTTTCCAGAGGGTCACCCAGTGTGACCTTCCCGGTGCTTGGGACAGCTGGACACCAACCCTTCAATATTGACAGAATGAGCTATTTTTGTATTTTTCCATTTAAATTGGAAGGAAAGTCCATCTGGTTCCCTTCGTGCTGCCAGGGGAAAAAGGCTGTTCTTGGGTCAGCTTTCCATGGGGCATCTCCTCGCTGGAGACCCAGGGGAGGCCATGTGGCCAGGACCTCTGTCTGGTGCTGGGATGGAGCAGGGATCACATAATTAAACACTAATTAGGGATGGAAAACTAGCAGGACCCTGCAATTGCAAAGGGAAGGTGGAGTGACATAAATGAGATCGAAATTGTGACCTTTTTCAATAAGCAGGAATATTAACTAAGTGTGACTAATGGAGGGGGGGAATAATCCTTCCTCAGTCCTCGTGCCCGGGGCTGACGTGGAGCTGGAACCTTTGGGTGCTCCCGAGGAACCACAGCAGGTGGTGCTGGACAGCCCTGCCCGCCGTGCCCGGGGTGTCACTCCAGGAGTTACTGTGGAGCGTGGACCTTTTCCATCCCCAGTTCAGGGAGCAGTTGCCTTTCTTACCTTCGGGGGGTGTTTTTTGCATCAAGCACCAGCCTTGTGGCGAAGCAATTCCCGACAAATCCCTCTGGGCTGCCTCTTGCCCTGCCTTGCTCAGCCCTGCACCACCATCTGGCAACCTCTGGAAAGCCAGGCCCGGGTTGTTTGATGTTGCAGTGACAGACAGAGTTGTGATCTGAT